GTGTTTTACTCCAACCACAGTATCTTCCAGATCGGTACCATCTGCCTTTTTAAACTGCAAAACAACGCATTTAGAAGAAAATAAGAATACACTACACCATCTAGTCAGTAATCCACTGTGTCGTGGTGCAGAAGTCGCAATATTCGGTATGAGTTTTTGGTGATGCTGGAAATGCGTAACAATGTCATCCTAAAATAACTAAATTTTTGCTAAGTGTTTCTGTTGTTGTGAGAATCGCTGAGCTGCAATCTTAACAGAACACAAATTAGCAACAAAAGAATGAACAGCAAAATGACTACCAGGCAAAACAGCATTGTTCAAAGCAGCTGGAAGAGCTGCCAATTGTACAGTTATGCGATAAAAATTATTGGCGTCGCGCACTGTGCGGGCCCACGCGATCGTGCATTTTTGCAGTGTTTCGTGCCGTAATAAGATCACTCGAAATTCCGCTAGCTAGAAGCCTCTTGTGCACAATGGTCCTCGAATTTCGGGAAGTCAATTATCCACGCTATACCAGAACAGGAACATTCCCTTGAAATCCCAGATTTCCAGCTTTCCCAGTTCCCGAGTCACTCAAATTCCAGCCAGAAAATTTCACGGGGCCGCACATGGCAATCACGCATAACGGGGGTCTGAATTTGATAAATTTTTAGGTTATAGATGAGTTGGGAACATTTCGCGAAAGTTTTAGCCTCTCAGTTTTCTTGGTTCTCGAGCTAGCGATTTTCGCGCCAGGATCCTTAACGGGGCCGTACGCGGAAACCGCGCACACCTGGGGCTGAATTTAAAATCTTTGAGTTCTATACGGGCGGGAAACATAATCCTAAAAATTTCAGCTTTCTAGCTTTTCTAGTTCCTAATTTGGCGATTTTCCCACCAAAACTTTGAGGCGCTCGTGCGCGGGGCCTAGAAGTGCTTGAGGATTGGCACAGCGGCCCTGGGGTGGCATTTGGTCGCGGAACGCACTCGCAAAATTTTGGCGCCGGAGCTTGCTTGGGTGACGAGTTGAAATACCCGGACAGATGCACACAAGCACACACACCCATACGCACACATACACACACACGGCAGTCGTCACAATATGTGTTTTTGA